CACGGATCGCACACGCAGTGGAAACGCTTTTGCTATTGCAATCTGCAACACCTCCGCCCGTGGGCACCGGTAAGAATGCCTCTCTTGTGTTCACACTTACAAAGAAAAACTTTTTTCGCACTCGCAGCAAGTCATACACCCTACATCTAGTACTATGCATTGGAAAAAAGAACGAACATTTTGGTGCTGGCCTTCTTCAGAGTTGCGCCACGCACTCTACCTCCATTCGGAATCGTGGTGGATCTCTGAATGCGGCACGGTCACAATAATGGCTTGTAATGGCCGTGCATTGTGCAAACCAGAGTTTTTATCCTTCCACGCGAGGCTGATGCCATTGAACTGGCAGAGGAGGCTGGAAAGACTGGCTGATCCCGATGAGAGCCGATGCGGGGGTTAAGCTCAAGGGTGGTGCGCGTGAAAAGGGATCCACTTGTCACATTACCTTCACCGTGCAGTCTTGATCACTGTGGCTGGTGAGGCGTGTCAGGGGCTGTGTTTGGCCATTGAACCAGCCCGTTCTCCACCAATTGTGAAAGCCAGCAGGCCACCACAATTGGTATAAACCTGGCTGCGCTAAACCCAGCTTCCTGACACGCCCCAGCGTCCACAGCGGACAAGAATATACAGTTCCAGAACTAGTCGATTCTCAACCCCGTCCAATATCTTTGTAGGCGCATTTCGGGTTGGTGAGGGCACCAAATGGTAGTGAGCGAATTTTGAGCGGGCCACCTTGTGAAGACCGGTTATACTTGTAACCAATGTCGCTCGCTTGTATATTTTGCAGAACACAAGAACTTATAGTCTCACCAAAGTGAAGCCTGTCAGTTGTCCTGAACTAGCGATAATGCAAATTACCCTTCCCCCTCCTAGACCCAACAGCTCTTTTTTGTGAATCGTATCATTTTCTTATAAAAGGCTCGCACTAAAACGAACAGGAAGAGCATACAAATGGCACTTTTTGAATTTTTTGAACACCGAAGAAGGTTTCCTAGAGAATTCTTTCAAACTGTCTCGCCAAAAGGTATCGCTAATCAGCACTAAATCAATTTATCATGAATTCTAGCAAGCCGATCAATCAAGTCGAACGACACACCAGTAGTCGAGATGAGTGCGATGAAGTGAGCAGCGCGCTTGCGAGACGTCGCCGAGATTACGTTGCGTTTCGCGAAACGCTTTGGTTGAGAGGGCACACGGGTGAGGTAGACGTAGAAAGCATGGTCACATGCTAGGCCGCAGAAGCCAGCAATGGACGCCGTTTGCGAGGCGTTTTGGCGTGATATCGCGAGAAACTGGCTGCAGCCGTTGCGTCGCCTCACATGCTTGGAAATTGCTTGCACTCAATTTCATGCGCAAAAATGGTGGTCATCGCGAAATAATCGTCGTTTTCCGAGGAATATATATCATTTTACAATTTTCCACCCTGTATGAGTAAAAGTTCTGTGAACCTGTAATTTTTGCGCTTAATAGGGATTTGTCCTAGTTCCTTTTCGCCGGGCCTTTAGCCTTAAACTAAAGCTATTCAATTTAAACCAGTCGCAAGAAAAATCAAGTGATCATAGAAAATCTTAAGCGTTGAAATTCTACGGAAGAGGCCCGTGCTCTGGGATATTATCATTATAACGTCAAGCACTTTTAATTTATTCCTCCATAGCCCATGCGTTCCCTTTACTATTTACTTATTTTAACATCAACAGTTCTGACTTATATTTGTTATTTTTGAATATAACGTTCTACTTGTTCGACTGTTGTGGTCACTAGGCCACTTTCGAGTTCATGTGAAGGGAGCTTTCTCCTTAATAGTAACGTCATTTTAAAAGTATTTTTTTGTTCAATACTAGTACTCAAAGCTACACTCACTTAAACAGGGGGAATCCCAACGCCGTTACCAATATCGTTCTTTCTCTCTATTGATCCAGTCAGGATCCACAGTTAGGAATCTACTTTTTCAATGTCGTGGCTTATCAAAATACAACTCATTTCAGCGTTACTCCAATAAGTCGGGACATTTTGGTGCAGAGCACCCAAGGCATTTAAAACTACGACAAACATTTTGTGTGGTTATGGACGCTTAGAAAAGATAGTACTCACTCAGTTTTCATAAACGCTTTCGGAAAGAAAGCTCCCTTTTTGCAAGGACATACTGGTTCACCCACCTTGGAGATCCTTGCACTCCTGTACCCATAGGCCTGGGCGGAAATCCTTACGATCATGCTCACAATCATCTCCCCAAGCCTTCCCCATTTAGATGCTATTTTAATGAAGAAAAATCGAAGATGTTACCTTGAAACGATACTCGCAACACACTACGTGGCTTTAAAGAACCCCTTGTGCAAGTTTAAGAATACCGTAATCGTGACGAAGTATTGCACCACCATGTCCTATCTTTCAGCAGTGGTGTCAGAATTTTAAATATTTTCGTTTATTTCTCATATGTTTCTTACATTCACGAACCCATTTTTATGCTTGCAATTTTTCTACAGTAAAGGCTTTCGAAAATTTTCTTACTCTGATTTCGCTTTTTGCAAGTAATTTGTCGTATCAAAAGTGCGATAAGGCTGTTTTTTTTCTCAACCGGCTTCACTAATTGGTTCCAATTTGTTTGTATTTCAGAGTTAATTTCTGTAAAATCCTCCTGTATGTGACCCACTAACCGTTCCATTTTGTTCCTGTTTTATACATGAATTCATCGTCGGAAATACCGCCGAGCAGTACTAACAGTGATGTTTCCAATGTTCAGCGTAATATTATTGATAGTACTTCGTCCGTAAATGTGAGTTCGTATTTTGTGTTCATTGTTATTTGACTGCGAAATTTCTAAAAAAATCAAATTTTGACCAATCTTTCCTCATGGCTTCTTTTATAGAGAGTGCCCAACACGTCAGGACCGTCTGCTAACGAGCCCGCTTTGGTGGCTTCTGCACCTCCTCCAGCTGATCCTGAAGTGAAACCGGGCAGCATGAGGGTAAGTGAAAAACCTTTCAGCTTCTGTATCGTTCAGTACATTGGTTTTCCTTATATTTCGAGAGGCTAGTGTGTCCTTTATCCGAAGCTCAGGCTTGAAGACAGTTCCCGCGATCAAGTGACCCATGAAATGCCTCTGTGCATTTGGCATCCGGGTCGCACTCGCACGATTGTACCCCTATGTCACTCGGAACGGCGGAATACAGAGCTACAGATGCGTGACCATTACAACCTGTATTGTTTTCTCTCTGCAAGACAGCGCCACACACGGGGAATCACGTGTGTGCATTGTGTTGCCTGGAGCATCGTAGGCTAATTTTCTACGAGAGTTCTGGCTTTTCGACTTTCTGCCAGCTTGCGACAATGCGTTTTCAAAAGCAGTATTTCAGTGGCAATCCACTTCGCTAGGCAGGATGGGTTTGGGCGCTGCGTAAATTCGGCAATGATGCGATCGCGTTGGTGCAATAGCTCGTCGTGCATTGCTTACCGTAGTCCTAATTTAAGCTCAGAGCTTACGAGAGCTATTTTCTGTGCCACTTTTTTGTTTTTCGCTTTTTTTTCTAGTACTAGACGCAAAGAAACAATTTGTGATCTAGGGGTTGCTTAGAGGCCGCAGGGTGTCTAGTTGCCAGTAACTCTGAAGAACTTTTACAGTGAAGTCCTGTGACGTAAGAAATGGGGTTTGCTTTCATGGTTTGTGGTTTCTTTTCCATCCTCCTCTACCCTGAAGCCACTTATCTGTAACTGGTTCATAACTGAACACCCACCCTCTAATACTTGATCGCGGGAATTGTCTTCGAGCAGAGCTTAGTCGCGCCGTCGCGTGGGCCTTCCGAACTGCGCTGGTACCTACCAATTTTTTTGTTTCAGTCAGGCGAAGAAGCACGAGACCATTGTCCTGCCATAAAGCCCGAAACGAAAGTTGATGTGAAGAAATCGGTGTCGGACGTTGAACAGAGTTCTACAGTCACAAATTGCGGAACTGGTACTGTTGATGGTGAAAGTACTACAGCAGCTCCCAGTGTCGAATCCGCTATCGATGATGCTGATGTGACCATGGACGATGCTGATCTCAGCGATGGAGATCAACCAGGACCAGCTGGTGTTCTCCGGAAGCCATCGGCAGCTCCACAGGTGACTTTTAAATCTGTTCCCTGTTATTTTTTCTATAACATTTGTACACGGTGATCACCCGCAGAGAAGAGCACTTGGCCGTAGCACATGGATACTAAGCGTGCGGTCGCAGAGCGTTCACTCATTCTTCGTGCTGATCGCTCATTTCATAGCCCTGCTGACTGCTTGCCATCTTTTTCTTGTCCATGTGGTGCGATCACGTTTTGGCTCAAGCCCACAACAGCAGCTCATTTATTGCTGATTTTGGAGATATTTCATAAAAATGATTTACAGATCGATGCCGAACAACTACGCTGCGATCCGGATTTTGCTATAATTTGCAGCTTCATCAATAAATTCTTCACACTCATGAGTGAGCTCTTTTTCATGACTGTCTTGTTCGCTGCGGATGATGGGGCGTGTCAGCGCGGCTGCGTTTGGCACTCCGCCAGCACGTTGTCCACCAGTTGCGAAGAGGTAAGTGAAAGCTGATGAAAAACACATATAGGAATGATATGACACAATCTTGCCGCTCGCTAAAAGAAAAAAAAACGGGTTGACATCGCGCCAGACGCAGCCGCGCTGCCATGACCCCTCATCTACAGCGAACGAGACTATATCAAGAGTCCATAATTTCTCATCTTATGAATATTTCTTGCAGAAATGGAACCAGTCAGCTTTTGTCAGTTAGAAAACATGTTCACCACGTTGGAAGACGGCAGAGGTACCTTACTGTAATTGATTTTACTGTTTTTTAATTGTTATGGTTTGCTTTCAGTCTCAAAAGAGCTTGTTGATCTTCACCTGAAGTTGCTGCGTCGTTCGATAGTGAAGACCGTTAGTAATGAGAGTTTTGAGAAATGTCTTCTCAAATATCTCAACAGCACCGGATTATTGTCTTCTGAAAAACGGCAAGCTTGAAACGTAGGTCATTCTCGCTAGTTTCTTGGGGAACAGGCCCACGCGAAATCCCTTTGATAGTATCTAGTACTTTTTTTATTTTAAAAATGCCTTTACAGGTATGGATATGTCCACATGTCAATTTTGAGTAAGCTGAAAATCCTGAGGACTTTATGTGAACTGCAACTAGACCACAATTTACGGCTAAGAGAGAGTGTGAGCTTTCCGAACCTTTATTATTGAACTGATCTGAAAGGCAGTGGGCACGACCGCTAGGGCGGGCGCTTTTGCCGGCGTCATTGGTGGAAGTTCTGCGAGAGGTGGTTCAGCCACGCCCTACTCAGCCCTTCCTCCAATGACGCTGTCTACAACCGCCCGCCCCCAACGAACGTGCCCATTGTCTTGATGCATAGCTGTGCTGGCTATTCTTTGATGTACTTGTTTAAACATGAGTTGCTCCTTCAGATACCTACGGCTTTACGTGCAATGGATATGAGGGATACGGTCACCGGAGTTGACAAAAACGGTTTGGCATACTACTGTCAAATTGATTCGAAATATGGCCTTCGTCTTTACACCACTGAACAGGATGACGAAAGCGGATATTCTTGGACGTTAGTGGCTCGGTAAGTGGCTATGCCGGAAATTTTGGAAGTTTTTTTTTCAGAATTCCTCAGCCATTTTGGCGCTGGATGCAAGGGACATATTGCTAGTTCACTAGTTTTTTTTTTCGATT